GGGGGGGGGTTAAGCTAGTTAAGAGCAGAGTAGAAGATACTGATGAAGAATTTCCTGAAGTCCCTGAGACGTCCACCGAGAAGTTGATCTATTTGCTGTAATACACGTTTGCACTTTATTTCCAAAAATGTTCCGGTGATGTTTTGAGGCAGTGTTTTTTAAAGGGTTACGTATGTCTTTGGAGGAACGCGTGCAGTGTTAATTGAGGTTGCCATGGAAGACAGGCACGAAGTATAACTAAGCTTTCTTCGTGCCATGCGATTTCGCTTCTGTGTTCCACAAGCCTCTTTTTGTATTGTGTTTTGCATATCGTCATACGGTGCATTAAAGATAAAAATATCTGCTATCTCGGTGTAATTTCCCTAGCTGGAGCTGTGAGTGCATATGGAGCAGTGGGGAAAAGATTTAGCTAACTGTGGGGGAAGAAAATATATGCATGCGAGTGTCTGTGTGTGTGTGTGTGTGTGTGTGTGTGTGTATCACTTATTTGCCATAGTATGGGTAATTTTAAAAAAAATCTCCTTTTACCACACAAAGCAGTATTTTCTGTGGAGGAACGTGCCTAGGCTGGCACACAAGCGGCCTTACTTTGCCTTTGGATGTAGATTGGCGGAAAACCTGCTAAAGGCGCAAGCAGCGGTAGAGCTGCTTTAGCATCCCTTGTCTGCCTCCCCGAATGAACTGCGCTAAAAAAAAATACCCCCAACTGTCAAATGCTTTGTTATTTTTGCCCCACGCTTCTTTATCGCCTGTGTGTCTTGTTGCAGATGTCGGCGGAGCGGTCAGAAAGCGGGAAGCGGCTGCCGCGCTGCTGGGCGTGCGTAGCGCAACCTGCACCGCCGGCTGAAGCAGAGAGCAAAGAGGGGACGAAATAGCCCCCGAGCCTCCCCCCGGGGCGGGGAGCAGCCGCGTGCCGGCTCTCGTTTTACTGCTGCTTCGATCAAGTTCCTTGCGGAGCGTGACATTGCCGATGGATTAGGACGTGGAGGTTCCTTCCAGTCCTTGGGGTGAATAAAAATTATCAACTCTTGACTTGATTTGTCATCCTTTAGGGAAAAAAAAAAAATTGTTAGACTGTCAATTAAGCAGCAGCGCTGTTAGATCGAGCACCGCTTGGCGTGGGTTACCCCGGCGGGGAGCGTGAGCCGGCCAGCAGAACGAGGAGCCCCCGCGCGTGAAGTCTACCCGGTGTCCTCAGGAGAGGTGCTAGCAGGAGGGAGACAACAGAAAACGGGGATTTTGAAGCTGGTGGAGTAGCTTCATCAGACCTTCTCGTTGCACAATGCCACATCGGCTCGGGAAGGCGCCGCGGCGTTGTTTTGAAAACCACCCGGAACAAAACCCGCCCGTAGTGCGTCTGTGCC